ACAGGGTTCATGAGATAAAAATAAGATGGATTTTGACACATTCTGGTGGAATTTATCTCGATATGGATAATTATCATCATATTGTCCAGCCCTACCGTATTCACACTCTCTCTCAGAAGACTGGGCTTTTTTCTGCAGAGCTTATAAAAGGTAGTGGTTGTGATTTTTGTGGTTTATTTTTGTTAGAGGGCGGCGCAGCAGGAGCTAGAACGGTTCTACTGGAGAACCTTTATTTATCAGAGTCAGCGTGACCTGTGCAGAACAGAATTAGGGCTCTGTGGAGTCAAGAACTCTCCAAACACTGACAGCATCAGAAATAGAATCTAATCCTGAATGTGTGTCGTTACACCCGTGTTACACACCTCTATTCAACCACGCTTCTCTTTTCTCTCCCTCTCTCTCTCTCTCTCTCTGTCTCTGTCTCTGTCTCTCTCTGTTCTCTCTCTCTCTGTCTCTCTCTCTGTTCTCTCTCTCTCTGTCTCTCTCTCTGTCTCTCTCTCTCTCTCTGTCTCTCTCTCTCTCTCTCTCTCTCTGTCTCTGTCTCTCTCTGTTCTCTCTCTCTCTCTGTCTCTCTCTCTGTCTCTCTCTCTGTCTCTCTCTCTCTCTGTCTCTCTCTCTCTGTGTTCTCTTTCTCTCTCTCTCTCTCTCTCTGTTTTCTTTCTCTCTCTTTCTCTCCCTCTCTCTGTCTCTCCCCCCCCTCTCTCACTCTGTCTCTCTCTGTTCTCTCCCTCTCTCTGTCTCTCTCTGTCACTCTCTCTCTCTCTGTGTTTTCTTTCTCTCCCTCTATCTCTCTCTCTCTGTGCTCTCTCTCTCTCTGTGCTCTCTCTCTCTCTCTCTCTGTTCTCTTTCTCTCTCTCTCTCTCTCTCTCTGTTCTCTTTCTCTCTCTCTCTCTCTCTCTCTCTCTCTCTCTGTGCCTCTCTCTCTCTCTCTCTGTCAGGTGTTGCTGAGTAACAGGTGACTGAATCAGATACTGAGTGTGTGCTGCAGTGATCACACGCTGCTGCCCGTCATCGTACAGTTTCTCTTTCCCTTTTTCCTTCCCTCTTCCTCATTCTTACTCTCTCCCTCCGCCCCCTCTTTTTCCCTCTTTTCCCTCTCTCTTTCTCTCTTTTTCCTTCTTTCTTACTCTGTCTCTTTCTGTCTCATTCCAGTTCTTTCTCCTTCCTCCTTTTCTCTCTCTCTTTTCAGTTTCTCTCTCGTTCTTGCTCTCTCTCTCTGTATCTCTCTCTTTCTCATTCCTACTCTCTCTTTCTCCCTTTCTTTTTTTTAGCTTTCTCTCTCTTTCTCTTTTCTCTCTCTCATTTCCATTCTTTCTCTTTTTCCTTATTTTCTCTCTCCCTCTTGCTTTCTTTCTCTCTCTCTCTATTTCTCACTCCTGCTGTCTCTTTCTCCCTTTCCTTTTCTCTCTTTTTCTCTCTCTTTTCTCTCTCTCTCTTTCTCATTCTGTCTCTTTTTCCTTCTTTCTTACTTTCTCTGACTCATTCTAGTTCTCTGTCTTTTCCGCTCTTTTCTCTCTCTTCAGTTTCTCTCTCTTGTATGTTCAGTATCACCTGTTACTCAACACCTGCCACACAGTCAGAAAGGAGAGAGAGAAAGAGAGGGAGAGAGAGGGAGAGAGAGGGAGAGAGAGAGAGAGAGGGAAAGAGAGGGAAAGAGAGAGAGAGAGGGAGAGGGAGAGGGAAAGAGAGAGAGAAGGAAAGAGAGAGAGAGGGAAAGAGAGAGAGAGGGAACGAGAGAGAGAGAGGGAAAGAGAGAGAGAGAGAGAGTCTGTGCACAGCGGTCACTCAGCAGCTGTTCACTCCTGAGCAGGTGTGTGTTTGTGTGTCAGCTGTTGTCAGACCAGTCGGGGTGGTTGTGGTATTTCCTCACAGCGTTACTGGAATAACTGCCGTGACATTTACATGCGTATCAGTTCATGTTTTCGGGAATTTTATCATTTCATCACATCTGTAGGAGTGCCATCCATAAATCGCTGACCTCGGACCTCCTCTGGGTTTCACTGATACAGCTTCAGCCGGCTGATAGTATCGTGAATCACTGACAGATGGCTGATGGCTGTCAAGTTGGACGATTTGAATGTCCGATAACGAGCTGTCTGCGGCTGTAAGATGTGCTGAAGTCAGTCGCGACGGTCTCGTAATCTTTTTTAAAAACGTGCCGTGTTTTTAACTCTTTAGGGTGGAGCTATTGGCCCATCAGGACGTTTGACATGGCCCACCAGAAACTTAGCCTAACACCACCCCCCTCACCCAGAGAGAGGACAACATATTCTCATAATATATGGAACTCATTAAAACCTTATTTTGTAATTAAAAGTTGTATTTTTTAAGGATTTTAGTAAGAATACAGTAGAATTTTGAACAAATACATTTAAAAAAAATCAGTTTGAAACCTGCCGATGTTCCTAATTTATGCTTTATTTTGCCTTTTTTGGCCCTCAGCCCACCACAAAGTCAGTGTTTGGCCTTTGGGTTTAGAACCTAATCCTTTGTATTGTTTAGACTGTAACTTGGTGATATTCTCCTGTCAAGTAATGTATACATGACAAATAATATGCAGATGCAATTTCTGCAAAACCCAAAAATTTGTTTTGTTTTTTTTATGTTTTGTTTTATGGCAAAAGCAGATAATTCCAAAGGTCATTTCATGTTTCAGAGTTAAAGCCATTTAATGGATACAGGTTTCTTTTAAATGCAGTATAAAACATTCTTTAACAAGCAGGTAAAGAGCTGAAACTATGTAGGGAGAAGGGAGCCGTTTCAGATTCTGCCTAAAACAGCTGGCAGTGCTGCATCACTTGACCTGAATATTGCATGCTGATTGGCTGAATGGATTTATCAGGTTCTGCTGGAGAACAGCGCTGGCGTATGACCGTTTCTGCTATAAAATGTGAACTTGCAACGCCCTGATAATGGATAAGAACGGCTTTAGTGACTAAACGTGTTCAGGGTTCAGAATATATTTGTGTGTGTATATATACATGTATGTATGTATGTATGTATATGTATATATATATATATATATATATATATATATATATATATATGATGATTTTACAGTACGAACTACCAAATAAGGAAGAACAAAGTTAGCCTTTAAAGCGCTTTCTGACCACTGACAAAAGCACTCTATAATGTTCACTACAGGAAGTGTAGGGGGCGACATGGCTTCTACTGTTTCATTTAAAAAGCTCTATATTGTTAATATGATCATTCTGAGAGTGTTGGCTGAATGCTGGGTTTCCTCTCTGAATCTGTACAGTAGAGTGTTGTTTGTTGTGTGTTATTTGTTAACTCTCTAAATGTTCAGCTTCCATCAAGAGTTGTTGAGTATCTGATCAGCTGGGAACAGTACATATAGATTATATATATATATATAAATATATATATATATATATATATATATATATATATATATATATATATATCACATAATGAAACGACAGAATTTATCACACACATATGTATATATATATGTGTGTGTGTGTGTGTAATATATATAGTGTGTGTGTGTGTGTATTAATGTATGTTTGTGTGTGTATATATGTGTATATATGTATATATGTGTGTATTCATAAAACAGCAGCACTGGTTCCCTTCAGTCTCTCAGTCAGACAGGATTCTTCAACAGAGCCCTGTTCTCCGCTGCCTGGAACCTCGAGCTGCTGCGCATGCGCACTGCTGACTCGCAGTAATCCTCGCGAAAGCAGAGCAGCATCAGGGAGAGAGAGAGAGTGGTGAGAGAGAGAGAGAGAGAGTGGTGAGAGAGAGAGAGAGAGAGTGGTGAGAGAGAGAGAGAGAGAGAGACCTTATAGAGAAGAAGAGGTGGGGGGGAACGCTCTCTCTCCCCCCCTCAAGCGCGCGAGACCCGCATGCAGGACGCATTTTTTGGCTGGAGCTCGCGACGGAGGATAAGCGGCATCTCGTGCAAAGCGAAAGGACGGACGGGCACGCGCACGCATCTTCCTCTGCAGGAGGCTCTGGGAATCTGTAGGGATATTATCGCGCGCGCACACGCGCCAGGGAAAACCCGCCGGTTTATATTCGTCCTTCGTTTGGCTCGGAGAGCGAGGCTGCACGAGATCTGTTTTCCGAGGAGCGCGAGGAGGCTCCTTCTTCCCGCAGTGCTAGCGGGGCTAATGCTAAACACAAACGCGCGCACACACTACACGGAGGCTAATCTCCACAGCAGCTGCGGCACCGAGAGGAGCCTCGCGCACACCGGCGCGTCATACACTGCACGAGAGACACGGGCGGAGAGGGGACGCAGGCGCGCGCAGCGGAGGGGGTCGGAGGCTAATTTGGAGCGCAAAAGTGGGCCAGAGAGAGGAGGCAGCATCAGCCGAACGGCATTCTGGGAATACCGTCTCTTACGAGGAGGGGGGGAGAGAGTGGACCGGAGTGGACGGAGGAGTGACCCACAGGCAGTCGCTCTGTCAGCCTGAGGGGTCTGTCCTTCAGTCTGAGTGATAAGTCTGGCTGTCTGAGTGGTCAGTCAGGCAGTTGGTCTATCCAGCAGTCTTAGATGTCTGTCCAGCAGTCTGAGTGGTCTGTCAGGTAATTAGAGGGGTCTGTCCAGCAGTCTTAGTGGTCTGTCCAGCAGTCTAAGTGGTCTGTCCGACAGTCTAAGTGGTCTGTCAGGTAGTTAGAGGGGTCTGTCCGGCAGTTTTAGTGGTCTGTCCAGAAGTCTTAGTGGTCTGTCCGGCAGTCTTAGTGGTCTGTCCGGCAGTCTAAGTGGTCTGTCAGGCAGTTAGAGGGGTCTATTCAGCAGTCTGAGCGGTCTTTCTAGTAGTCTGAGAGGTCAGTCAGGTTGTTCGTGGGGTTGGTCAGGCTCCCTGAGTGTCCAGCAGTCTGAGGGGTCAGTTCGGCAGTCTGAGGGGTCAGTTCGGCAGTCTGAGGGGTCAGTCCAGCATTTTGAGAGGTACTCCGGCAGTCTGAGGGGTCAGTCCGGCAGTCTGAGGGTTCGGTCCGGCAATCTGACAGATGTGTCCAGCAGTCTGAGTGGTCAGTGGAGGCTATGCTGTTGAGGCCAGTGATGTATGTATGAAATGGAGACTGCTGGATCTGGACTGGTTGAGGAGAGGTTTGAGAACACCTGACCGTAGTGCACGTGCTGTTTCTGGCAGTTCGGTCATCGTGGCGATGGGCAGTTCGGCGTCGTCTTTAGCGACGGAGACAGAGTCGGAGCACGGCTTCAGCAGCGCCGCGTACCCTCCGGCGCCCCCGGTGGGCTGGATGAGGAACAGTCACAGCAGCCCGGTGTGGGGGAGCACCTTCATCACCCGGCAGCAACATCCCATAGCACACAGAGAGCGCAGGTAACATGTGTTTACATGCTGAGGTGGTCCACTAGTCTAGACCTCCAGAGAACCCAGACATTGAAAACCATGCAGTACCATCACTTTGCCTGATGAGTGTGCTGATGAGGGCACTGCTGGCATACATGACATTAGCATCAGCTACCTAGCTGCCTAATGTAACCCTATTAAATTCTTTACTAACCGATAACTAAAGCTGTCAATTAACACGCCTCCATACTATTCAAATTTATGATCTGGTGCATTTATTGGTGATGTAATAGTGCTTCGTCCTCGCTTGGGAGAATAAATCATTTACCTAAATTGTGTTTCTACAAAGTGTTAGCACAAAACACGCCAATGTTAGCCTGCTTAGCTGAATGGAGCCAAGGATGTTTGTCATGTTTCGGTTTAAAAAAAGGAAACGCGGAAGGCCTGGACTGGTTTGTTGTCCAGGGAGCGGACATTAGAGGGAACTAATGATCTCTTGGGATTAATTTATTCTGCTTGCCATGATTCCTGTATCTAGGGTTGACACCTTAGCCCTGTAAAATTCCTGGATACTTAATCAGTGGCTTCCCAAACAAATTTCCCTACAGTGAGGGTGAGAGTGACCCATTTCCTTTATACAAATAGCTTGACTTGTTGAAAAGAAACACCTTTACCTTCTTGCTTGGATTCCTGGACATTTTGTGGCCAAGAATGGAATGATTTGTTGTCCTGGACAGGCAACAAAAACCTGGACAATACAGGAAAATCCTGGACAGGTAGCAAATATAGCTGTATCAGACAGTGCCATGGTCTCTAGGCCTGGTTCTCGCAACAAGCTTGGACTCTGTGGTTTAAATAGCTGCGTCTGACTGATACACATGTAAGCATTTATGGGACACATGGATAAAACCAATAGCTTGAGAAATTCATACGTGAAACAGCATTCAGCACTGTTTTAGCCAGGGTTTACAGAAGCTGCTGCATGCTTACATGTAGGTTCGTCCATATATCTTTCAGTTCTGTTTTATGGTTCTTATTGAAAGTGAATGGACATCCCAGACCTATAAGCCACTGTTAACCTACAGAATAGAATAGGCTCACTAAAGCATATAAAACGGTTTTAGTTGAAACAAAACCACCAAAAATTTAATTGTTAATTGGTAATGCTAAATGTTTGACAACACCACCCACTGCGAGACTGAGTCACTTCCACAATGAAACATCTTCATAGCTAACTCTGCTAGCTCAGAAAAGCTAATACTAGCTAGCTGATGTTGGCTAATGCTTGCTACCTGAAAATTGCTAACCCTTGCTAATTCAAAAAAGCCAGTGATATAGCTGGCAATAGTTAATGCTAACCAAGTAAAAAAAGCTAATGCTAACTGTGCTGACTGTTCTGTTGGTTTGTTCTGCTGTGAGTGAACAACTAGACTCCTTTTCTCTTCTTGTCTGCAGAGTAAAAAACACTCAGAACGGAATCATCATTATCTTTTTAGTGCTAGGATACATGCTACATTAGCATTAGCATTGCTGACTTTATCCTCAATTAGAAGAGCAAAGAATTTGTCAGTTATGTGAGCTTCAACTGGAAGTGTTATTTATGTTTCAGTCTTGGTGGAAATTAATTAGCGAGTGACCCAAAACAGTAAAAACCTGAATTAATAATGATTCTAACCTCTTTTTTTTTTTTTAAAGATCAGATCAAACATAGCTGTGTGTGGAGAGCTTATCTGTGTTATAAGTCCAGAAATCCAAACATGAAGTTAAAGGTGTTTCTTTTTATCAAGTCAAGCTATTTTCATGAAAGAAATGGGTCGGATTACTGAAGCATCTAAAATGCTTTTATTTGAAACACTGTTTTACTGTGCTGACAACACCACCCGACTCTGACACTGAGTCACTTCCACAATGAAAACATCTTCATAGCTGACTCTGCCAGCTGAAATTACCCACTTAGCAAAATTTATCTGGCCCACTGGTTGCCCACATTCTTGGTTTGCTCTGGCCCAATATATGTCTGGGTCCTAGGCCCAGATCTGGCCCACACACTGTGAAATGAGTAGAGCTAAAGGATATGGCACAAATTTGGCCCCAGTCTGGCCCAACTACATTGTTGGTTCACAACATTCACACCAGTATTGTCCCACAAATGTAGACATGAAGCAAAACCATATAAAACTGTCTAGGATCTGGCCCAATTCTGTACCACATGCCTAGCATTTACCCAGTAGTCCAACACTCACACAGGAAAGCCAGAATTGGCCCAAAACTGTCTGCTGTCTGGGTAGTTAGTGCTAGCTAACTCTGCTAGCTGAGAATAATACTAACTAATACTAATACTAGCTAGCTGATGGTAGCTAATGCTAGCTAGCTGAAAATAGCTAATGCTAACTAACTCAAAATAGCTAATACTAACTAATTGAAAATAGCTAATGCTAACTAACTCAAAATAGCTAATGCTAACTAACTTTGCTGCCTGTTCTGTTGGCTGTTGTTCTGCTGTGAGTGAATATCTGGACTTCTTCTGTCTACAGAGTAAAAAAACAGTACAGAATCATCATTATTATGTTTTTAGTGCTATACATGCTACGTTAGCGCTAGAAGAAAGAATTTCTCTGTGAGCTTCAACTGGAAGTGTTATTAGTGTGTCAGTCTTGGTGGAAATTAGCAGTGACTGACTCAAAGCAGTAAAAACGTGAATTAATAATGATTCTAACCTTGTTTTTTTTTAAAGATCAGCTCAAACATGCCAGCTGTGTGTGCAGAGCTTATCTGTGTGATGAGTCCAGTCCAGGCGTTTCTGGTGTGTGTTGCTGAGTCATGGGGTATGGTGGCCTGTATTGATCTTTCATATGGACGGACTGAGATCCTAAACATTATTTATTAATATACTGCACCACTACTCCACCATCTGTGTGCACGTGTTACACTGTGTGTGGGTAATGAACAGAAGTGCTCTGTGTCCTCAGGACAGCTGCAGAGACATCAGGACTTCGGATATGTTTAAGGGGTGTGTGTGTGTGTGTGTGTGTGTGTGTGTGTGTGTGTCTGCGTGTGTGCACATGTTGCACTGTGTGTAATCACACACCATTAAATGACAATGGAATGTTTATGTGTATTTATATTCATTTTTCTTACAGTGGATTTAGTGTGTATTTTAATCAATACGTAAATGTTTACTGCAGAGAAAAAAGGCTTTACATGTCATTTGCTCAGATCGACTAAGGCTTTGGCCAGTACTGTGTGTATCATCAGAAAAATCAGATTTTATTCAGCACTTTGGGAGACGATTGGTCAGCTTGGGTCACTTTCAGACAGAATTTTATCAGACTTTTGTCAGGTTCAGACTTAAAACTTGCATTTTGGATGTCTATATTTTATAAGGCTATTTTTTGGTTTTAAATAAAAAATCAGGCCTGCTTAAAGTGTTTGTGTGTGTTTGTGTGTGTGTGTTTGCGGTACAGGGTTTAATATGTTACACTAGCACACAGAGTAAATCAGTAGCTAAACACTTTATAATGAGGAGCTTGTAAATATTAACCACTAACTCTAATAAGCTGTACAATCAGCTGAGGTTTTATTAATAAAACATGTTTTCGTATTTTAGCTTCAGGTGCTGTAAATGTTCAAAAAACCAAGCCTACAGCCGTACGCTAATTAGGCTGAAGTCCGTTTTCCCCTTTTTTGTTGCTGCTTTTTTTCCTCCCTGCAGTTCAGTGTCTGTCTGTTCATTAACTCTTATAGATACTCAAATATTAAAACTAAGCTGGGTGCACAAAACAAGACTAACTTTCTAAAGATTTCTAAAATTTCAGCTAGAAAGCGTCAAAAACCCCCAAATGTCACCTCTTATCACGAGACAAGAACAGTGCTAAATTTACTCTGGAGTCCCAGGTGGTTGCTAAGGTGTTAGTTGGACGTTTTTTGTGTCCTATTGGTTGCTAAGGTGTTGCTAGGCTGTTACTATGTCATCTCGGGTGGCTGCTAAAATGCTGCTATGGTATTCCAGGTGGTTGCTAAGGCATTGTTAGGCCATTGCTTTGGTTTTCCAGGTGGCTGCTAAGGTTTGGCTAGGCCATTGCTTTGGTATTCCAGGTGGCTGCTGAGGCATTGCTAGGCCTTTGTTTTGGTATTCCAGGTGGTTGCTAAGGCATTGTCAGGCCAATGCTTTGGTATGCCTGGTGGTTGCTAAGCTGTTGCTTGGCTGTTACTGTCTCATCTCATGTGTCTGTTAAGGCATTGCTAGGCCATTGCTTTGGTATGCCAAGTGGTTGCTAAGGCATTGCTAAGTCATTGCTTTGTTATCCCAGGGGGTTGCTAAGGTGTTCAGAGCAAGAGGTAAACTGGACCTGAGCTGTTTGTGTTTTTATGTTCTCACGAGAAGCGAAAAGGCAAGCTTTGCACGAATATGTGTTTGAGAAATGCAGATATCGCAGTGACAGCTGGATAAATATTTCACTACAAACTGGGACTTGAAATCATGAAGACAGTGCTCTGACATCTGGCTGTATATATTATGAGCAGTATAAAGTCTCTTATTAGGCCGTGTTCAGAGAGCAGCTCCTCTGCCTTAGCGCTCTGCTGCACACACGTCTCTTTACCTCTTCTTCTTTCTCCCAGCTCTGTCATTGGCTGTTTCCTGAATCACTCCTTCCGTTACATCTCTGACCATCATGCTCTACAGGATATGTGAGTGTGAAAATCAAACATGTATGAAAACATCAGCAGCTGAAGGAGCTGCAGTAGATCTGGAAGCTGAAGACCGACTTTTTTTGTCCTCACATCACCACATCATCCACACTGTCAGTCACTTCTGATTGCGCTTCTGACCCGGAAAATCAGTTCAGATTGGGAAAGTTTGTGAAAAGGGACAAACTGGGGTTAAAATCGGGCCAAAAACGTAGTGTAGGCCCAGCTTTAGTCGCAGTGCACATCCGTAGGCTAGATCCATTGATTTTATTGGGGTTACAAAATACTTACTTAAAGTGCAGTAACATTAATTTTTGTATATATTAAGCCAGCATTATCAA